ACTCTCATTTCCAAAGCTAAATTAATTGAGATTAATAAAAACCTCTGATCCCTTTTTCCTTGTTAACTATGAATTCTGGCTTAGCGAAGTACTTTTTGATAAATATAATGGGCCAAAAGGTAAGTCGTTAGCTAGGTACTTTTCTGATTTATGTATAGCTTCTTCTGCTTCGATACGATCTTTTCTAATTAAGGCAATTAGATCATATAAGACATCTAGTGAAGAATTTTGGCAGGAACCTTTAGTTAAAATCTCAGGTAAGTCAGAACTTTGACCGGGTTTGGGTTTTGATAGTTTCTTTTTCTTTTTTTGCTTTTCTTGTACATGGTCCCAGAGGGACCCACTCATCTCAATAGACTTAGGAATTGAAGGGTCTTAGAGGGACTAAATAATTCTCTTGAAATCGACTCGTCTAACAACTTTAAAGATCCTACAATTAGATAATTATTTTCTTTTTCTTGGGATTATTCTCTGAAAGAGAGACTGATGAGATGGTTTGCACCTTCCTAAGCTCCTCAAAAAAGTAGTTTCCATTTTGCTATGAATGCTCACAATCATTCCATATATCATGAATATGATCTTTATTAATATGGTACTCATTTACTATCATGTACATCAGGACCTTATTTTTGAGATGTCTAATTTCTTTGATCTGTCCAGATATTAAAATAGTGGCACCCTGCCAATAATGGGTTTTTAAAATCGAGGTAGACATAATCTTCTAATATTTTTTGACAATGTATTTAGATGTATAAAAAATATTAAGCATTAATATTTATCATTTTAGATGGATAATAAAAATTAGAATTCAATATTTATAATTTTAGAATGAGAGGGGATGTTAGAAAATATAATTTATTGTTTTAGGTGAGTAGAATATATTCTAATACGCTATCTAAAATAATAATGAAAATGATCGATAACCTTTGTATTCATTTTTTATTTATTGTGATTATTCTCTAACATAAAATTTAGAAGTTTTTTTTTACATGTTTATAGCTAATATAAATAAATAGGAACATATGATCTTGATAAAAAGATACGTCGCATCTTACAAGACTCATCCAAGATACGAGACTATAATGCTAAGTTGAGGAATGAATACATGAAGATCAATGATGAGGCCAGACGGTTGAAGGTTGAAAATTCTAAACTTTTTTCCCAATATGCTTGCGTGGAGACATCTCTCACCAAATATAAAGCTGAATATCATGCAAAATCAGAGAAAGTAAAATCGCTCCAATCTGTGATTAATTCATTACCCCAGGATACTTTGATATGAATAATCGGCCAGATGATCCCGAGAGAACCGATTCATATATAAAAAGTAGTGGCGAAAAAAATAATATGCCAGAAAGCTCTAGCGCTTCTTCAGAACAAATCATACCCGCTACTATTTCTAAAGAAAAGATTTTATTAGGTGGTGCGAGGAACTCTATCGATATAGACAAATTACTATCATCGGTGCTCACCTGCTCGATATTGTTTTTTCTATTAATCATAATTATATAGTTAGTCATTGTGAAAAAGCTACAGAATTTGGAGAGCATCATGCCAAAAGAAAAAGTCAGATATCCTGCCCACAAAAAATATATAAATAGAGAAAAGGTACCAAAGGTACCAGATAGACCGGGGATAACACCTAATTATCTACTGTATGAGTACTGATGCTAGTGGAACTTCTTTAAATCTTTTTTCAATGCAAGCTAATATCATTTTTGGTAAATCTTTAGATAGGTTTATTAAGACTTTTTCTACCTGAAACACCGTATATCCTAATAACCATCCAATATGAATCTGATCACCGCCCTTACTATTATGCCTATAATGTAGTAAAAATCGATACTCATCCATTACAATATCTGCTATTTCCCTCCTGATCTGCTATTATCTCACGAAATTCTTGTCCATCCTCTTCTGTGATTGGGAGACGAATTTCGTTAAGTTCAAAACCTATGTATTAGGAAAGTTGTTTGTGTAATTCAGCTATTATATTAATAAAGCTTGAGTTTAAATAAAACTGTTAATATTGCACAAGAAAAAATATCTAAATACTGCTAACGATCAGCTATATATCCGAGGCCAGGCTATGTGATCAGAGGACCGAGTTGAAAGAGGCCACCCTGTGACCTGATCAGAGATAGAAATTGAAGTTAGCCGGTAGTATAAGTATGCAATAAATATACTAAATAATACTTTAAAGCAATCGATATAATAATATTCCAACTCAGAAACACAAAATTACTTTATCTCGAACAATTATACACAGCCGATAATACTACTTTTCTAGAATGGAGAT